ACAGTCGCACAAGCCCTGGGACCAAAGCAGTCCTCTTCCTTCCTCGGGGTGCGTTTCCTTCAGTTGCTCAGACAGTAACCTTAAATTATAATCATCAGATCCAGTATCTTTGCAGTAAGGCACACAGGGAAGCTGGCCAGTAAAACTAGATGAGGAGACCCAAGGAGGCAGACGGATGGTCGAGGCACGAAGAGGTGAAGTGATTTGCTCAGGCACACGCAGAGTCAATGGCAAGGCTGGGAAGGGCAAACTGTTTGAATCTAGCACGTGCCCTTTCAAAAGAAAATGCCAAAGTGATTTCTACTTTCTCTTTCTTGGATGCTTGATGCTTAAATTGGTATTAAAAGCCCTTAATGTCATCATAACATAGCTAAAAAACACCCAGGTGTGTCCTGGGAGAAAAATGGAAAAGTAAAGTAGTGTCAGAGGAAGACTCTTCAGCATTGAAGTGGTTATTTGTACTTTGGCTGTGGTGGTAATTCTCATACTTTGATATAACCACACCGAAGTTCAACAGCTAGTGCCAAGCTGCCTGCATAGGCTTAGTATACTTCCAGGAAACCTGATGGGACTAAGTCAAGTCAGAAATGTGAACACACACATCGCCCACTTGCACGTGTTAACCCCAAAATCTTGCACTGTAGTATTGGCTCCCATGACACACACAGCTTATTAGAGCCACACATGCAGCTTCCTGATAAGAAACCTCTTTGTGATAAGCTCTCAGCTCAGCAAGAAGAACAAAATCCATCGGAGGGGATTGCAGCACTGCCGCTCTTCCTTGGCTGCGAAGCTGTTCCAGGTCAAAGATGGTGGGGGGACGACACTAAGATGTGGGGGGGGAAGGGAGGAATAGGCTGCAATCGCACCTAGACAGGTTACAGGGGTGGGCAGATGAGAACAGGATGGGATTCAACACGACAAGTGCAAGGTGCTGCACCTGGGGAGGAAGAACCGGCACCATACCTACAGGCTGGAGGACTCCCTTCTCATCAAGGCAGAGGCAGAAAAGGATCTTGGAGTCATCACTGATGCCAAGGTGAACACGGGTCGGCAGCGTGCGGATGCAGTCGGGAAGGCCAACCGCACCTTGTCGTGCACCCACAGGTGCATCTCGAGCAGGTCCAGAGAGGTGATCCTCCCCCTCTATGCGGCACTGGTCAGGCCGCAGCTGGAGTACTGCGTCCAGCTCTGGGCGCCGCACTGCAGGAGGGATGTGGACAGCATGGAGAGGGTCCAGAGGAGGCCACTCGCATGGTCAGGGGGCAGCAGGGCAGGCCCTACGAGGAGAGGCGACGGGACCTGAACCTGTTCAGCCTCCACCAGAGAAGGCTGAGGGGGATCTAGTGGCCTGTTACAAACTAGTCAGAGGGGACCAGCAGGCACTGGGGGAGTCCCTGTTCCCCCGAGCATGACCAGGAGTGACCAGGAACAACGGTCACAAGCTGGCAGAGGGGAGATTCACACTAGACATCAGGAGGCGCCACTTCACGGTCAGGGCGGCTAGGGTCTGGAACCAGCTTCCAAGTGAGGTGGTGCAGGCTCCTACCCTGGGGGGCTTTAAGACAAGGCTAGATGTACACCTTGCTGGGGCTGTCTGACCCTACTGACTGTGAAAGGAGACCTCTGTCACCTATGCCCCACACCAGCAGCACCAAAGCTGCTTGCTGCGAGTCTCTGGAGCCCCGGTGGTATTGGTGGGTCTGGTCTCTGGGAAAACATGGCAAGCAGTGAAAGAAACAGAGTTAAATTCATCCCTACAGCAAGGTCCATGTCAGCAGACTTCTGTACCTGCACAGAAGCCTTCCCTCCTGTGAACTAACGTGGACGTCCAGGGATACAGGGGTCTGTGCACGAGAGCTCAAGGCAAGGTCACAGCCTTAGTGTCACAGGGTTGGAGGGGACCTCAAAGGTCATCTTGTTCATCTCCCTGCACAGCGATCGTGCAAGCGCTGGGCTTTCAGCTGCTCCTGAACTATTCAAAATGGTTTAAACCTAGTTCTGGAGTTGCCGCTGATGCTGCGTTTGACCTGCGGCGTGTCACCGGCTCTAACTGTGCCTTGCCGAAATGAAGCAATACTTATACTTCCTCTGATTAAAAGGACCCTAAGTGATGCACAGGCTGCTCTGCCACTGGAGCGGTGATATCTCCTAAGTTTGCAGTTAGTGGGATGCCCAAAATTCATGATCCCAAGTCAGTACTTCCCAGGAGCCCTGACAGCTGTACCTAATTTGCATAGGTTCCTAAAAATAAGTGCAAAATGGCCATCAGATGCTCTTTCCAGAATTGGAGCTTTGTCAGATTACAAGCAAAATTAAATGTCAGCAGCCAAAATGCTAACCAACTTCCCCAGCATTTCATAAAACCAAGAGCCTGCATTTCTTTTGGAGTGTGCAAGTTTAACTGGGCTCTCTCTATGGTATCAACCAGAGCTTAATGTAATAAAATCATGTGCACTAGGGTGCCCTTTCCACAGGATGGGCAAATCCTATATTTAGGTCCTCAGATGGGCACAAACAGAAGTGTTACTCCCCTGAGAGTTGATACTCCAGATGCAGAGCCCCGGTGCACTGCAAAGCAGCCTGAAATTCAGCCTCTCAACTAAATGGCTCCCTGGTATAGCTCCACTTACTGCACTAGAGGGATTCATCTAGCCCTACAGCCCTTAATTAAGATAGCCTTTTTTTTTTTTTTTTTTTTTT